TAAAAAAAAAAAAAAAAAAACAGCTTATTACACACCATATCGAACGATAAGTAAAGAATGTTTGAAATCTTACGTGTATTTTTTTTTCGAGGTGAAGCCGAGGATTTTATGGATAAGGTCTAATCCTACCACAGTGTATATTATATACTTATTTTCGTGACAATACAGGGAAAAAGTGGTAGGAATTTCGCATAACCAGATAAAAGTAGGTACTTTTGTCTTGCTGTGCAGAACAAGAATACTCTTTTCCCTCATCGTTTCTCTCCGTATCGGCGCAAAAAATCGTATGTTAACATGCACTACGGGAGAAAATTCAGAATGCTGAGATCACGTTTTCTACTTACAGCTTCACCTCAGGTGGCAACGCGCGTGTAATCCAGGATATTCCTTACTTTTTTTTTCATAGTACGTGATTTATTATTTTAATGATAGTATATTCTAATACTGGTATGCTTCTCTTTCAGGATAATCACTGAGCTCGAGGTCGCTTGCAAAGCCAAGCTTGCAGGACTTTCATGATCGCTCTGGACAGATGTTTATAAATGGCAAATGCTGTTTTTCTGACCAGAGGGCAACAAACGTCCAAAGTTGGAAAAAAGGCAACAGATAAAATACCTATAATGCCATAGAAAAAAATATTGAGATTATATAAGTTGTTTAATGAAACTAAATGTTGAAAAGCCTGAGGTGATCGGTTCCTTAAACACACTAAAAAAAATAATTACTGGTTCCAAGTAATATTACTTGATTTAAAACGATTTCATACTTGAATAGTTCCAAGAGAACATTTTCTAGAATCAAAAATACATAATGACTCGTATTCAGTAAATATAGTTTAAACGGTGATGTAATTTTTCTTAAAATAAAAATATGTTTACTACATTTAAAAACACATTTGATTGTTTCGAAATTTAGTTTTCTTATTGCAAAAAAGAAAACTTCCCACAACTAGTAAATGTTTTTGAACTCTAACTAACGTATGCTGCAGTCAAAACTATATTACCTTGCAACAAGAGATTATTTTTTACTACTTTTGACCACATTCACAAAAATATTGTTGAGTCTCGAGTAAAGATTTTTTAAAGTCTAGAAACCATATGCACAATTCAAAAAAAATTTTTTTTTGTTCCTAGAATATATTTACTAGGAAATAGAAAGTCAAAGACATATTAACTGTTTCTTAAAGTAGGCGCACTGGATACAAGAAAATATTTACTAATTTCTAATAAAATTTAACTTTAAAAATTCAGAAAAGTAAAGAAATATTATTTAGAATATTGTGTGTATGTATATATGTATGTAAGGTTATAGATATTCTATGTTGATTTACACGCAATGTCATATTAGTATTATTTATGTATATTACACATGTATTGATACATTTGTTTAAAATGTTCACTTGGGTGATATTTTTATGTATATCGAGAAATAAGTAAATATTCATTAGAAGAAATTATATACACTTATTAGCCATAATATTGTTGGTACCAACGATGAATATCTAGTAGAATATACTTAAGCATGAGTATACGTATTATTATAAGTTACTTATGATTGTTAAATCTAAGAGGGAAATCCTGAAACAGAAAATTGTCCTGAAGAAATCTGCATCTGAGGAGTCTCGAACCTAGAACCTGCTGCACCTTAGTCCACCGCTGTATCTACCACGCTAGAACGACCTATGCCTGACGAAAATTAAAACGTATATTTATGGATATTAGGGATGGTCGGTAATTATATAAAAATGCATACATCAGTATAAACAGTTGTGAATTTGTATTTAAAAAAGTTTTAAATTCCTATTAAGAACGATCTCCGGGACCAGCGCTTCTCAATCAAAATTGATGTAAGCTGAGAATCTCTTTTTCGTTGCATGAGCAGACGATGCGCAGACACATAAGAAACTTGGCGACACTGCAACAGCAATGGGATATTGTTCCTTCTAGATTTAGGAATTCTCTAGGACCCAACTTCTCTGATGTGAAAAATCACTAGATCAAAAAACAATAGTACTGAACTTGAGGCACGAAATTCAATTAAGGTCCAATAACACAAGCATCTATCACCTTGTGACCCGGGGTGCTTACTACCCACTCTGTTAAATAGTTAATTATGGATAACACAAGCGCCTACCACCCAATGACCCAGGGTGCTTACTGGCCACTCTGTTAAATAAATAATTATTAATAACACAAGCATTTATCACCTGATAACCTGGGGCGCTTACTGGCAACTCTGTTAAATAAATAATTATTAATAACACAAGCATCCATCACCTTATGACCCGAGCGCTTACTGGCAACTCTGTGAAATAGATAATTATTAATAACACAACCGCCTATCACCCAATGACCCGGGGCACTTACTAGCCACTCTGTTAAATAAATTGTTATCAATAACACAAGCGCCTATCACCTCATGACCCGGGGTGCTCACTGGCAACTCTGTTAAATAAATAATTATTGATAACACAAGCGCCTATCACCCGATAACCTAGAGCGCTTACTGGCAACTCTGTTAAATAAATAATTATACAATATTACAAGCGCCTATCACCCGATAACCTAGAGCGCTTACTGGCAACTCTGTTAAATAAATAATTATTAATAACACAAGCGCCTATCACCCAATGACCCGGGGCGCTTACTAGCAACTCTGTTAAATAAATAACCAGTAAGCACCCCAGGTCATCGGGTAATAGGCGCTTAAGTTATTAATAATTATTTATTTAACAGAGTTGCCAGTAAGCGCTCTGGGTTATTGGGTGATAGGCGCTTGTGTTATTAATAATTATTTATTTTACAGAGTTGCCAGTAAGTGCTCGGGTCATAAGGTGATAGGTGCTTGTGTTATTAATAATTATTTATTTAACAGAGTTGCCAGTTAGCACCCCGGATCATTAGATGATGGATGCTTGGGTTATTAATAATTATTTATTTAACAGAGTGGCGAGTAAGCGCCCCACGTCATGAGGTGATAGGCGCTTGTGTTATTAATATTTGTTCATCTAACAGAGTGGATAGTAAGCGCCCCGGGTCATTAGGTGATAGACGCTTGTGTTATTAAGAATTATTTATTTAACAGAGTTGCCAGTAAGCGCCCCAGGTCATTAGCTAAAGGGTGACCCGGGGTGCTCACTGGCTACTCTGTTAAATAAATAATTATAATTAACACAAGCGCCTTTCACCTAAGAACCCAGGGTGCTTACTGGCCACTCTGTAAAATGAATAATTATTAATACCGCAAGCGCCTTTCACCTAATAACCCTGGGTACTTACTGTCCACGCTGTTAAATAAATAATTAATGATAAATAACA